TTCTTTTTTTTTTTTTTTTTTTTTTACCTTAGCTTCTATTTTTAATCTTATATATTCTATATCTCTGATCTTGTTGCTGCTTAAATTATTCTTTATTACTCTGATCTAGCTTTGTCTTTGTTTGATATTGCTTTATCTCTCAGTATTGACTTTAACTTTAGTCTTGGCACCTTTACTATCTGTATAAATAGAATATATATTTATCAGTAAAGATATCTTTAACTAAATCATAGAAAAGTATATAATTAACTTTTCAAAGCCCAAACAAAAAAAAGCTTTAATAAATAATGAACTTTTGAACCAAATAGAGGCTATTTTATTAAATCTAAAAGATATCTTTCTTTGTGACAAAAATACAAGATCCTGGGCCAAAAGAAAATTTAGACTCGAAGAAATTGTGCCAGAAGACTATAGAGTAATTGTAATGGCTACAAATAATCCTGTGCTAATTGTAGAAAAATTTTATGAGGTTTTATATCAAATCCATGGTGAGGTTACTCAACTTGGAGAACAGAAACAAATATGGAAGTCAATCCACGAAAAATGGGGATATATTAAGCAAGGAATTATTGAAAAATTTGTAAATAATTGTACTGCATATGCAGCAAGAAAACTAGTGTTTTTTTTCCTTTGGCTACAAAACCAATCATCGCAAAATATTTTTTGTCTCGTCTACAGGTAATATTATATTTTTTTAAATTAAATTACTGTAAATTAAATTTTTTTTTTTTTAAATTGTACTTTATTATACAGATAGATCTAATCGACCTATCCTATATCTCAGATGGAGAGTTTAAGTATGTGTACCATATAAGAGACCACTTTAGCAAGTTCTCATGAGCCCGAGTATTAACATTTAAGAGACTGGTTAAAGTTGCGTCATTCCTTTTTGATCTTTTCTATATGATTAGATCACCCCTGACTATTTTATAGTTGGATAATAGCAAAGAATTTGTTATACAAATTATTAAAGAATTAATCGTGCTATGGCTATTAGTAAAAATTATTAATGGATATACTCAGCATCTCCAATCACAAGGTCTTGTCGAATGGGCTAATAGTATCTTGGAACAAAAGCTAGAAAAATAGAAAGAAACAACTGGTTGAAGTAACTAGTCATTTGGTTTGAGGTTCATTGTTGTAGCAATAAACAATTTTTGGTGTAGATCATATAAAAAAAACCTCTATGAACTAGTCTATAGTGACAAGCCTTGTGACAATTGTTCTCTTGTTAATGAACTTTTTACAAATAATATTTTTGATAAAGAGGCAGTTTCAGATACAATTGAAATCTCCAATAATAATAAAACAGACTTAAATGATAATATGATTGATATTAAAATAATATTTATTTCTAACTTTACAATTTTTTTATTTAAATTTTTATTTTGATTAATTACTATTAATTTGTAAAGGTTTTGCCTGATAACTTTGATGATCTAGGGATGTGGCAACTTAGTGAAGTGGTGGAGTTGTCACACCCCCAAATAGCAGGTCTAGAGTTCGAATCCTACGGACAACGATTTTAAAAAAACTAGATCTGTATCGGTTAATGTTAAGATTATCAGTTGGATCCAGATATTTGTAATTTTGGTTACACTATCTCGAATGGGAGCTTTGGCACAATAAATCCAGGAAACCGGAATTACTGAAAACCTGTTTGGCAAGTCCCAAGTTGGGAGTAGCAGTGATCTTTAACGGTGCTACAGGAAGACTGAATTTGGAACTGGAAACTAAAACCGGAGAACCAAGCGACCAGATCCTTAAGT